GCAGTGGGTGACAGAAGGGTATTCTAGGATGGGGCTCCGAAATAGAATTCCAGATGCCACGTCTGTATTCCCAGACAGTGCAGGCACCATGCTGGCCTGATTTACTCAGCCGAACTATTTCGTTATTTAGAAACTTTCCGTGAGGCCAGCTGGTGGAGAGTGAGGTCAGGCCGACCCATGTCTGTCTACACTGCCTTCAAATCAGGTGGCCCCGGGCCAGCTGCCTCAGTGCCCTGAGCTTCTCTTTTCCCACATGCAAACGAAGGTGAAAAATGAGCTGAGCACGTATATTGTCGCAGGACAAGTGGGGTGAGCAGGGCAGGGAGGGCTTCAGCACTCCCCTTGTGTTCTAAGGTCCTTAGGTGACAGCCCTGTGGACCTCTGATGTCACACAACTCTGCTGCTATTCAGCTCAGACTCCACCCAGGACAGAGAGCACAGAAGTGTGCTATTGTCTGGTCACGCTCAGTCACCACCAGCGTGTCTCCCTAGCTCACATGAGCTAACCTGCACGGACCACGAACTCCTGTGTCCTTTTGTCTCTCTCTCCTACTGCCGTCCTCAGGCTCTAGACATGTACCATCTGGCTCCTTCTTAGGTTCCATGGACCCTGCCCCAAGTCTGTGCTCCCCCGACACCCACCTCCCTGCTATTCCACACTTACAGGAACTGGTCTCTGCTGTTTTCTCTCTGGTCCAGCTTTCTTGATGGGTTCTGAAATCATCTTTTTACTGTACTCCTTCACCCAGCCTCACTTCTTCCCCCTCCCTTCCTTGACTTCCTTGCATCAGCCACTGGCTTTTTGGTCTGCTGCTCCACTTTTTGCCCAGTCATGCCCTTGGCCATTACTGTTGGTTCTGCTCTGGGTCAAGCCCATGCCCATCCTTTTCTTTAACAACAACAACAACAACAACACAGTCCTCAGATGACCTACTTGTGGTGGTTTGAATGAGAAATGTCCCCCAAAAGTCTTGTGTATACAAACTTGTGGTCTTCAGTAGGTGGTGCTGTTTGGAAAACTGTGGACCTTTTATGATGTGGCGCCTCACTGGAGGAAGTATGTCACTGGGGGTGGGCTTTGAGAGTTTACGCTTCGCTGGACTTCCTGTTTACTCCCTCTGTTCCTTTGTGTGGTTGAGATGTGATTGCTCAGCTTCCCACTGCCCCCAGCTGCTGTCACACTCCAGCTGCCCTTGTGGACCTGTAAGCGCAAACAAACCCTGTTTTCCATAAGTTTCACAGTGTTTCATCACAGCATCAGTAAAGTTACTAGCACACCTATCCTCTCCTGCGTTTGCTGTGATAATGGCTCTCACTCCAGTTCCAGGGGACCTTACCCTCTCCTCTGGCTTCAGCAGGCACTGCAGGCACATGGTGCACACACATAGAATCAAGCAAACACACATACACATAAAATAATTTCAAAAGTGATGGAGAATTAAAAAAATAACTGTTAAAAACACTTTAAAAATGTCTGAAGATTCTGAGTCATTTCTGCTAACATATGTGAGTTTTATCACAGAACACCTGTAAATCGAGTTTCCTGGTCCAAAGGTGTGTGGACATTGATTCCATGAGAGTCTTATTCCCCCATAGTTACTAACATATAAATGTATATATGTATGCACACATATATACATATATATATAATGTTAGTTATATATTTATACACAATTATATTGTTACAGAATATATCATTGTATCCACAAATATCAGACAGACCCCCACTGTGTAATTATTCAAGTACAATACAGTTATTTTGGATTCTAGTAGCCTGCTAAGGTGTGCCCAGGTGTGCTAAAGTTACTATGTGCTTCATATGTTCCAGCCATGTAGGCTGATGGGCAGCTAGAAAATCTTTAATACTTGGCTTTCCAAGGCAGTCCAAGGATCATAATCTCTATATGTGGGCAGAAGACAAAGAGGTCTTCTCCCAGGATCTCAAGCCAAGGGCTATGCAAGTGAAAAGGCCATAGTCTGATCTCAGAGTTGGAATGTAGCAGGAGACCTCAAGAATCCGTTGAGGGCTATGCACAGGTAAACAGGGTAGTGATGGTTTGTTGCAGTGTTCTTGCCCCAAAGGAAAAGACACTACACATGACAGAATCCACTAATAAGAGTTTCATCAAGACAAAGGGATAGATGTGATGAGGTCTATGAAAGGACACGTGCGAGAAAGAGACTGGGGGAACATGGTGCCGCCTTATAAAGGCCAGGACGCACATGCACACACAGGCCTACTCACAGAGATCACGTGGTCATGTGAACATGACCACGTGACCTTGTAACCATGGGGCCTGCGTCACGAAGGATGTATGACCCAGAAATGACTAGGCGGAGATGACTAAGTGTCCTGCCGAGCATGCACGACCATGGGGCGTGGTTGGAATTCCTATCAGGTAGGTTTTGCTGACAGCGTGGACATGGGAGCGGAGAGAAACGGGCTTGAAGGACAAGCTAATGGGCTGGCACTCTTGTCATAGATGGGCTTCATCATAATATAAATATTGTTCCCAGGAGACTGTGAAATGATATCGTATTGAAATGCCACCCAACGTAACTCCATGATGACACATGGGAGTTTGCCATTGTTGTGGTTTGAAAGAAAAAGGCCCCCCCAAAGGGAGTGGCACTATTAGGAGGTGTGGCCTTACCAGAGTAGGTGTGACCTTGTTGGAGGAAGTGTGTCACTGTGGAGGCAGGCTTTGAGGTCTCATATATGCTCAAGCCATGCCTAGTGAGACAGTTCACTTCCTGTTGCTTTTGGATTAAGATGTAAGGACTGTCAGCAACAGCACTATGTCTGCCTGCATTCTGCCTTGCTTCTCATCATGACAATAATGCACTAAACCTGTGAACCGGAAGTGAGCCACTGCAGTTAAATGTTTTCCTTCATAAGAGTTGCTGTGGTCATGGTGTCTCTTCACGGCAATAGACACCCTAAGATAGCCACCATTCATAATCATGTGTTTTCTTCCATGATTCACCTATGTGATTTACCTGTTTTCCTACAGAGAAGATAGGCTTAGTTGCTTCTACATGTTGCTCTGTAGGTTTATTTGGTTTTGTGTCTGGCACCATAGATGTCCATCCTTCCCTGGCTGTGTTTATGCAAGGAAGGGTCTTCTGAATTCTTTTGTCTTTCATGCATTGCACAGGGTGCCCTTGCCTTGTAGCTTCTCAATTCTATTTTTATCCACAGTTGATCAACATTTTTTAAATCAGCTATTCTTTTATTTAAAGCATCTTCCTGAGATAATAATATACCTTGTGATAATTTCTTTTGAACTATTTTGGTATTGTCTTACAGTGTGTGTGTGTGTGTGTGTGTGTGTGTGTGTGTGTATTTGTTACTTTTCCATTGTTGAGATAAAGCACCATGACCAAAGTAACTTAGAGAAGGAAGAGTTTATTTGGCTTACTGTTTCAGAGGGCGAAGAGTCTATCATGGCTAAGAAGAGTGGCGGCAGGCAGCAGACATGGCGGCTCAGGCAGAAGCTGAGAGCTCACATCTTAAGCTCCAAACAGGAAGCAGAGAGTGATCTCAGAATGTGGTAAGACTTTGAAACCGCAAAATCCACCCCGGTGACTTAACTTCTTCCATTAAGTCTGGACCTCCTGAGCCTCCCAAAGAATGCATCAGGTGGACAAAGGCTAGAAACTATTCAAGGAGAGAACTCACATTTCACACACACACACACATACACACACACACACACACACACACACACACACACACACACACACACACATACACACCATAGTCTTATCATATAGAAGGAAGAGAGCGTTCACGAATGAAAATTCCAAAGCCCAGACAGAGTATATCTTTGTGCCATTTTTCATTAGATAAATTTGTCATATGACCCAGTGGCACTACAGTAGAAGATGGGAAGTGTAGTCTTCTTGTGCCCAGGAAGAAGGGAGAGAACTAGTCTAGCAGAGTTGCTGTAGATGCTCACATTTTCACACTTTGAGCAGAACTTCCATCCTATAGTTCTCATCGTCCCTGAGGAAGTGAAGGAGTCCAGATTTGGGATTGGAGAGAAGGAAGTTAGGATTTCACTCAAGACTTGATAATCCTATGACTGTAGATTCCTTCAAACTTTGTAAGTGAGACTATTACCAGGGAAGCTGGGCTCCTGTGGGAGTTAGTAGTCTTGCTAATAAAAGAATTTGGAGGGATGGACTGCTGGTCAGGCCATTGTCAAGTTCACCTGGATTAACTCTTAAGAGGGGAGGCAGTATTATGCAATATTGTAATCTTTGGAGCACATTAGAATGTCACCAAGTGTTCCACTCTTTCGACCAGGAGCCCTGACATCTCCGCCTTCTATATGGTCAAAGCTGATGTTTCCCTTTTTAGTGTTACAAAGGAAAAAAAGAAGTAGGGTCCAAATTGGGCCACAAGGAAGAGTCCATCCTGCTTCCAAGTCTGTTAATCCCTGTAACGTGTTCACTCTGCTGTAACAAAATACCATAGGTTGATGGCCTATTAACAACAGAACTTTATTTATTATGTCTTGGGAGTTTGGGAAATCGGGATGCTTGTGATTCTGTCCCTGTTGAACGTCTGTTCCCTCAATCACAAGCAATGCCTTCTTCCATAGTTGATGGCACTATCTTCTGAGGCCTCTTTGTAATTTCTGAAAAATATGTGTGTGGGGTGCTCCAATACAGGTGTGCTCGTGTGGTTAAAACCTGGAGAATAACATGATTTTTGTTCTCAAGCATGCTGTCTACTTCTTTTGAGACAGGCTCTCTCACTGAACCTGGAATGAACCAATTATGTAAGCCTAGGTAGCCAGCAAACACTGGGGATCCTTCTGTCCCTTCCTCCCCAAGACTGGAGTTATGAGCATGTGTCTGGAGTTATGAGCATGTGTCATAATTTTATCTGGGCTCTGGGATCAAAGTTAAGTCCTCACACTTCCAAGGCACCTACCTGACGGGGCCATCCTCAAGGCCCCAGACTCGTTCATGAAGGCAGTAGTCCTCACCATGGGATCTCCATCTCACAGATTCTCACTTCTGAGGCCCCTCCATCAGATGATGCCATGTTAGGGTTTAGGATTCCAACCCAGGAATTTGAGGAAGACACCAACATTCAGAAAGGGCAGGTGCCTGTTCCTGAGCTCAGTGTGGCTGGCGCCATGGGCTTTAGAAAAGGCTGGCCTCCATAGTGAGATCCCACTGTGCCAGTTCAATGTAAATGAATTATCCTCGCTTCTTGCTTCTCTGTTGTCACCATAAAATGCCTGGAAAGCAAAGATCCCCAAATTCCAGCTTCATGACAGGCCCTATTCATTTTCTGTTTGTTGACACAGTATGGCTTGTTTTCTACCAGGGCAGCCTTTGTGCTGGCTCCTTTGGGGTCGGATGCTTTATTTTCGTTTGGCAAGGCTTCCCCCGATTCCTTTCCCCTACTGTAAAAGCCTGGCAGAAACATGTGCATCAGTTAAATGGCCATCAGATCACTGTGTGGTTTGGCCCTGCTTGGCTCTCTGTTTCTGGGGCACCAATTAAATGAGGTCAAAGCCGTGTTGGCTAAGTTTATTGTTACCATTTTCTGAAATTTTCACCTCATTGGAGACGTTGGAAGGGCATTTAGTTTTCATTTATTTATAAATGCTTAGAAACACGCACACATTTCTACACACACGCGCGCGCGCGCGCGCGCGTGCGCACACACACACACACACACACACACACATCTTTGGAAGGAAACACACCAAAATTTTTAATTATGTCTGAGTAGTGGAGACTTTGATTGTCTGTTTGCTGATACATGCCACCAGAGAGACATGCCTGGTGTGTGGATAGTCACAGGCTCCACAGGTGAAAGGGGCATTGCTAATAGAATATATCTTAGAAATGTGGCCAGTGTGTTCTGAGCACATTGATGGTATGGCAGCCTGAATGAAAATGGCTCCATAGGCTCACATGTTTAAATGATCAGTTTCCAGGTAGTGGAACTGTTTGGGAAGGATCAGGAGGTGTGGCCTTATTAGAGGAAGTGTGTCCCTGGGGGTGGGCTTTGAGGTTTAAAAAGCCTACACCAGGCCCAGTTATGTTCTCTCTCTCTCTCTCTCTCTCTCTCTCTCTCTCTCTCTCTCTCTCTCTCTCTCTCTCTCTTTCTCTCTCTGTCTCTGTCTCTGCCTGCTATCTACAAATCAGAGTGTAAAACTCTCAGCTACTGCACCAGTACCATGGTGGCCTGCCTGTGGCCATGCTCCCTGCCATGATTGATGGTCACGGATTAACTCTCTAAAACTGTAAGCAAGCCCCAATTAAATACTTCCTTTTATAAGTTACCTTGGTCATGGTGTCTCTCCACAGCAATAGAACACTAGCTAAGAGACAGGTGGCTGACCACTCATAGGGAACACCATCTCCATTGTTAGAGTCCTTTCTTTCTGGACAGTAAGCCTTACCAAATCTGGGCAAGGAGCCACCATGTATGCAAGGACGCCCAATTCCTTGAAGGTTCATATGGGGTGGGGCTCTTGTTTTGACCATTTATGGGGATTAAAGCAATTCCCACACTTACTTGGTTCTAATTGATTTTTGACTGGTACTGATTTTGAGAGGGTCTGGAAGTCACAGGCCTGAGATAACTGATACTTTCTGTTTACATGTGCACACATGTTTAGATGCACACACACAAACACCACATACCCTTTCTCCTTTTGCTCCTCCTGCATCCTTAGGCAATAGGAAGCACTCTTTCCATTCCTCAGAGAGAAGGCTGGGTGGTGCTGGATTTCCTCTATCAACCAAGGCATACCCGTGATGAATTGTGAGTGGCTTAACATGTCCTAAATCATAAAGAAATCCAATTTAGACCTTAGCACACAGTTCAAATTCAGCTTTTAATCCAGACTTTGCTCAAATCTATTGTGCACCTGAGAAGGAGACATGAGAACCAAAAATACTTGGGGGTTTACACCAATCAGATATTGACTAATGGTTTGTGGGTTTTTTTTTTGTTGTTGTTTTTTTTTGTGTGTGTGTGTGTAGGGAAAACCTTTTCATTTTTACTCTCTGTCTCTCATGCATATATGTGTGTGTGCCCATGAATAAGTGAATATGTTTAATATACAGTAGCGATAAATATAGCATATCAACCCCAGAGGAGAAACCAATTTCTGTCCTGTATCCATGTCTTAGTCAGGGTTTCTGTTGCTCTGATGAAGCACCATGACCAAAAGCAAGTTAGGGAGGGAAGAGTTTATTTGGCTTATGCCTCCATACCACTGTCCGTTACTGAAGGAAGTCAGGACAGGAACTCAAACAAGGCAGGAACTTGGAGGCAGGAGATGATGCAGAGGCCATGGAGGGGAGCTGCTAACTGGTTTGCTTCTCATGGCTTGCTCAGCCTGCTTTCATAGAGAACCCAGGACCACCGGCCCAGGGATGGCCCTACCCACAATGGGCTGGGCCCTCCCCTTTCAATCACTAGTTAAGAAAATGCCTTACAACTGGATCTTAAGGAGGCATTTTTCTCAACTGAGGCTCCTTGCTTTCGGATAATTTTAACTTGTGTCAAGTTGACGTGAAACTATGCAGAACAATTAATTTCTACTGATCATGTGGATTTAGAACTTCTAAGCAGGAAGAATGGTTCGATGCATTTTATTGAGATGTGGTTCATGTCAGTGGAGATATACTTTTTACTCAAACTGTCTTTAAAGACTGGGAAGTTGCGGGCCCAGGGGTCAGGGTTGGAGGGACTTTTCATAGCAGTTAGAATTCCACCTTTATCTTCATTTCTTTCAGAAATGAAGTAGTTTACCTGGCTTTTAAATTCAAGTTCTTATGTTGAGATAATCAGAGATCATCACAGACTGACATACGTTAAAGAGGAGCCCACACCAGTTTCCCCAGTTTCCTGTTGTGGTCACATATCCTGAGACATGGCATACTGCGAACCCGGGTTTTCAACTTTGATACAATAGAGGGGTCTTTCTTTATTTTCCCTGCCATTTTATTTTACTTATTTCTGTACATGTCTATGTGTGTTTATCTGGTTTTGTACAATTTTGTTACCTGTGTGGGTCCCTGCACCTACCACTTGGAAAATCTAGAGCAAGTCCATCACCACCAAGATCCCCCCCCTTTTTTGCCATAATTTTTATTAGTCTTTGAAAATGTATACAATGTATTTTGATCATGTCCATGCCCTACTGCCTCCTTCCTACTCTCCCTGGGATTCTCTAGCCCATGTCCATCCCCCCCCCCCAACTTTATGTGCTCATTGTTGTTATTATTTTTTTGCTAATAACCTCCTGAGTCTTACTGGTGCTGACTGTATGCACCTGACAGGGTTATGGGAAAGCTACCAGCAGCCAGGGAGACATGTGACCCTCAGTCAGCAGCCATTCTTCCCTGCTAGGGGTAGGACATTGAGGGCCCCCCTCACAAGATCCCCTTTTATTACCAGACCATTCATTTCCTCCCTTGCTCCCCGAGTCTTCCACAGCCGACATCTGGTATCCATGGCTCTCTTCCCCACCTCTACGATCCTCTCATTGCAAGAATGTCCCCTGGGCAGAGTTAGACAGCATTTATGCTTCTGGAATTGCCCTTTCTCAGTCAGCTCCATTCCCTGGAGCTGCACTGGAGGACGTTGCTTTATGCATCCAAAGTTCATTCCTTTTTATCAAGTAAGTATATCATGGTATTTATGAGTCATCATGTATTTAGCTGCCTGCCTGTCATATGAAGGACATATGAGGGATTCTGGACTAGGAGGGATGAAATAGCCATGAGCATGGATGTGCAGGATTTTCACACCTGTGTGATAAATGGCCGAATTGTGTGGCAGTGGCATGTTTATAAGAATCTGCCAAACCACTTGCCGCACGGCTCAACCAGTGTGTACTGCATCCACGTCGAGGAGACTCATTTTCTCCACATCCTTGGCAATGCTCGGTGTTGTCGCTTTTTTAAAATTTTTAATTTTTTTTTTAATTTTAGCCAGTCTGATAGATGTACAGTGACAGGTCCTTGTGGTCTTAGTCTGTGTTTCCCTAACAGCTATGCATTCTGGGCATCTCTTAGACAGGACTTTGTCATCTGCATGCTTTGCATAGAGAAATGTCAGTTTGGGTCTTTTTTCTAATGGAAAGTTTTGAGGAGTGTGTGTGTGTGTGTGTGTGTGTGTGTGTAGATAGATAGATGATAGCTAGATTGTATATGTATATGTATATGTATATAGATAGATGACAGATTGTGTGTATATATATGTATATAGACAGATGATAGTGCGTGCGTGCGTGCGTGTGTGTGTGTGTGTGTGTGTGTGTGTGTGTGTATAGATAGATAGATAGACTGTGTGTAGGTGTATATGTATATAAGTAAATAGATGATAGATCGTGTGTGTGTATGTGTGTGTGTGTCTAGAGGCCAAAAATTGAAGTCAGGTGTTTTCCTCAGTCACCCTCCACCTTATATTTTGAGATAACGTCTCTCATTTAACCAGGAGCTCACCATTTGGCAAGGCTATCTGACTATTAAGCCCCGGGGATCCTCCTGCCTCTGCTCCCTAAGTACTGGGATTATAGATGCACAGCCCTGCCCCTGCTTTTTACAGTGGTGCTAGGAGTTGAACTTGGGTCCTCACGCTTATGAGGCAGTTATTTTACTGACGGAGCCATCTCTCCAGGCCCAGGCTTCTTTATATAGTTAAGGTATCTAGTCTTTATTAGATACACGGTTTGCAAATATTTTCTCTCTGTCTGTAGTTTGTGGGTTTTTAAACTTTCTTTTCATTTATTTCTTGTGCCTTTCACATCATGCATCTTGATCCCATTCATTTCCTGTCCCCTTGTATCTGCCCTCTGCCTTTAAACCACACCTCCCAAAATAAAATAAAATAAAATTTATGAGGAAAAAAAGAAAAAAAATCTTGTCATGGAAGCTATAGTGTGCCTTTTATCCATGTATCTTTACTTACAAGTGTTCATTGCAGAGAGTCACTGGTCTGGTCCAAGGCCTCTGGTTTCTGCTACACTATTCATGCTGGACCCTCACTGGGACTCCTCTTGGATATCCTGTTGTTGCCCTGTGTCGTGGAGATACTGCAGCTTTGGGTCTGCAGGACTGGCCACTTCATGTGTTCCAGCACCAGAGATGGGGTGGATCAACCCATAACCCCAGTTCTGGGTCTGGGTAGTTGCAGGGTTGGTCAGCCCACCAGCTCTCCCCTGTCTTCACCATTAGGGTGAGTGCTCCAGCATAGCCCTTGCTGGCTCATCCCTTGTAGCAATGAATAAGGGGCGGGGTCAGTTCTCCTGCTTTTACATCCTCAGGGGCAGCTCTGGGTAGCCTGGGTGAGGTACAGGGGCCACTCTCCCAAGTGCTGCAGCCGGTGAGGGGCAGGGACAGCTCTGCCACTCTTATGACCTTGGGGCCAGCTTTCCCACCTGCCACACATGGCAAAGGGTGCTCAGGTTGGGGGCTGGGATGGGGAGAGGCATTTCTCCCCTGCCTACACCACCATATGGCAGATAAGGGGCAGAACGAGATCTCTCATGCTCAGGTTCTCAAGGCAGCTCACCCTCGTCAATAGGTCAGCTGTACTGTACTGCCCAGTCAAGATGCGGGGTCCACTTTCCTGAGAGCTGCAGCTGGTAACGGGGAGGATTAGCTCTCTAGCCCACGACAGGCAGCAGGGGCACGGGAACGGAGGGCATCCCTCCTTCACCCTCCCCACCTCATGGCAGACAAGGGGGTGTGGCCAGCCATCCCACTCTCACCTGCTCAGGGCCAGCCCACCCACGCCTCTGCCAACAGGGTCAGCTCTACTGTGCTGCCCAGATGAGATGCAGGACCCACTTTCCTGAATGCTGCCGCTGGTAAGGGGAAGGGTCAGCTTCCTCAACAGCTGGAGGTGGTCGGGGTAAGGGGGGAGGGCGTTTTCCCCTTGCCCCTCCCCCACCCCGCAACGCATGAGGGAGGCAGTACGGGCTATGCCCCTTGCTGCACTCTTTCAGGGCTGGGTCACCCGTGCCCCTGTCTACAGGGTCAACTCTGCTGTGCTGCTCATGTGAGGTGGAGGGTTCTCCTGAGTGCTGTAGCTGGTGAGGGGTAGTCGCGTTGGGTCCCCTACCTGCTGCAGGTGTTAAGGGGCGAGGGAAGGAGGGCAATTTTTTTCCTCACACCACCGCAGAGCAGAGGAGAGAGGCACGCCTTGCTCTCCCATTCTCATGCCCTCAGGGCCAGCTCGCCCATGCCCCTGCAAACAGGGTCACCTCTACTGTGTTGCCCAGGTTAGGTGCAGGATCCTCTCTACTCAGGGAGGGGCAGGACCAGTGTTGTAGCCAGTGAGAGGCGGAGCCAACTCTATATAGCCCTCTCTTCTCTGTCCTTGGCGGTTTCAGGAGCCTCAGACATCCATCCACACAAACTGTGACTGCATTAGGGCCATGAACCTAGACATCACCGTGGCCCTGGGTGGCAGTCAAGTCACCCACTCCAGCCTGCTCCTCACTGCTTTCACCTCCTCAGATACACCTCTGTCCATAGGAAATGAACCATTCTGTATCTCTCTCTTTCCTATAACACACCATATATTTGCTCACCACAATTGTGCCCCATCTGCCCAGTGCCACCAGGCAGGCCAGTGTTTTCTACTCGAAGTCAGGGGTGGGCCTGTGTGTGGGTCTTTTGGTCCTGCTCAGTCCATTGTGGTGCTGGGTAAGAACATGCTTCTTCCTCAGAGCCCAGGGCAGTCCACCCCAGGCCTGTGTGTGGGTCTCTTGGCCTCACTCAGTCTGTCATGGCACTGGGCAGGAACATGCTGTCTCCTTGGAGCCCAGGGTGGTCCCGTAGCTTGTGTTTTAATGTCTATAAGGAGGTATTTAAAGAGCGACAGTGCTCTTCCCTTTCCCTGACTGCTCCATGTCCTCATATGTCACCTTCAAGTCCACCATCCCCTCCACATCTGATCAGGGGTTCATCTTCATTTGTCTGTGGTGTTCCCTTCTTTCCACCGTCTGTTGAAAAGTCTGTCCTTTGTCCACTGTATTATCTTAGTGCCTCTGTCATCCTGTCTGGGCCCATTTCTGTGTCCTGTACAGTCTTGTTGATCCATGTCCATATCTAAGACCCGTAGTTACTTCTACAGAGACTAAACGTCAGCCTTGCTGTCTCCAGGTGGACATACCTCCTGGAAAGATACATTTCAATCCATGACTATCTCATTGTGTTGGTTCATGTGACATGAGCAGAACATGGAAGGTTCTTCTGAGCAACCCTGAACCATCACTATGATTCTGCTGTGATTTCTTTTACTGCCAGGACAGTTGATCCCTGCAGGGGATCCTTCATTGGTCCACAATGAGATGATGTATATACAGATCTTAAAAAAATGCCCGGCAGTACATAAGTAATAAGAGAAAGATACCTATGGTAATGCCAGACCCTGAGGTGGGGAAGAAGTTTTTACCTCAACATCATCTAGTAAAAGATAAGTCAGCATACACTTACAGAATGTCTAGGTGTGTTTTAGAGAGACACGCAGCATCCTGTGGCTTCTCAAGATATCATGTCAGGCTCAGAAAAAGGCTAACATTTTTTCCCCTAACATTTATCCCTGTGATTTAGTTATCTTGTCTTGTTGCTGTGGTAAAGCACCTGTTAATGTCAACTTGGGGAAGAAAGGTTCGTTTTGGCTCACAGTTCACAGAGCTACTGTCCTCTGTGGCAGGGAAGTCACGGTGAGAAGAAGAAGATGGTCTCAGACACTGCACTCACAGTCAGAAAGCAGGGAACAATAGATACTTCTGCTCACCACACCTTTTCCTTTCAACTTAGTCCAGGCCCCCACCTCACGGGATGCTGCTACACACACTGGGGCGTGGGGGGGGGGGAGATTCCAGTAATCTAGACAACCGCTTACACAGATTTGTTTCCATGCTGATTGTACATCCCACCAAGTTGACAATGACAGTCCTTCTTGTTCTGATTGACCCGTGGGTCTCCCCAAGTCCCCTGTTGCTGGTTTTCTCACCCATTGAAGAGTAGGCTTTGAGGTTTTGTAGATGGTGGAGGAGCAATACAATGACAAAATGTAAGTGAAAAATAAGCGAAAGTTCTAGAATGCGGAAGAGTCAAGGACAGACATGGCTCTTTGTAAACAATGAGCTTCTCATGTGTGTGTGTTCTCCTTACCGTCCTCAGAAGGCCATGCACTCCCCCACCTGGTCATTCAGTTCAGAGCTGTTTGTCTGTTGCTAAAGTGGGAGTTGGGATAACCTTGTTTTTTTCTACCTGACAAGAAGATTTACACTACAGCCCACAGCAGCCCACACTGACCCAAATCACCCTCTCACTTTCTTCATCCACATCTCCTATCATCTCTCATCTAACCCATGGCCAGAGCTTTCACAGCCAGGTACCCGCTGGGCATGCTCCACACATCCCTAGAATGAACGCACAAGTCCCAGCAGAGTAAGTGGAGGAGAAAACTGTGTGGAGGAATTTGGCCATTGAAGAGCCCCCCCATCCCATGTCCTGAAGGACACTCACTAGCATTGGATTCCATGCTTTGATTTTGGCTACATGATACCCCGTGGCTCCTCAGCCCATGGTTTCTCTCCAGCAGTTTCACTTGTGGAGAAGCAGCATTGTGTCGAGGGTCACCATTGGGAGTATTTGTCACTGGAGATGCCCAACATATTGTTCTGGCTTTGGGAAATCCCAAGAAAGTGGAGATACATTCTGTGGGCTGGGGTCATGAACCAAGTAAGAAGGGTAACGTGAACTGAGAGTCAGCTTCATCCCTCTTTGCTTCCCGATTACTGATGCAATGGGAAGGGGCTGTCTCAGCTCCTGCTGATGTGATTCCCCACGACAGCATCATCATCCTTGAGCTGTGAGCCAAATGAACCCTTCCTCCCTGAAGATGCTTTTGTTAGGTAGTTTTTTTCATAGTGACTGGACCGATAACTAACCTAGAGGCTACCAGGGAAAGGGAGATGAATAGAGAGCTGGAGACTGTAAACTCCAACCTCCCAGAGAATAGAAAGTTCTTGGGAATGACGGTGGACTTCCTAGGAGTTGGAAAGGGGGCGTCCTGACGCCATCTGACCGCAAGTTTACCCTAGCCTGGATAACATCTTGTTGTAAGTGGAAATGTAAGAGGGGAGCAGTGAATGAGTGAAAGGAGGAGCTGGCCAATTATACTTCTCTATCCCAATTTACAGTCAGTGGAAATACCTTCCTCATCTAGTCTTGCTGCAAGTAGCTTTCACAGCAGGACGCTCTGATGAGAGATCACATCCCGAGAGTGGAAAGAGAGATCTGAGGCCCGGGTAGGCTACTTTCTATCCTTCCTTATAGTACTACTCCAAGGGAAGCCCTTGGTCCTGGATCATGATTCCCCTGTAGTGAGAACCAGGAGGAAGACTGCTTCCGCGACCCCACCACTTCCCCACATTCCCCTATCCACACAATACAGACAACCCGCATTACCCTGGAAGGGCAGTCTCTCCAGCCTTCAGAGCCAACAGACTGACTTGGAATTTTTTTCTCAAGTTGAGATTTAGTGAATGTGCTGACATAGAGATGGTAAGTGTGTGGAACAGAGGATCTGTACTTTGGTACACTCTGTAAATGCCACCCAGATAGGAGTACCAACTGTTTCTTATCTCTCTAGAAAGTTCTCTGTGTCCCTTCATGAGCAATACACATAGCTTGTCTACCAGGTTTCTGCAGAATCATCTCACCAGTCCTCTGCCCCCACGTCTCTGCCCATCTCAGCTCTCAGGCTGCAGCTTGAGTCTCTGTACCACCAAAGCCTCGCCACTTGCTCTCTCCGGACCAGCCTTCCAGGCTCATAAGACACCACCTCCCCGCAGGCTTCCCTTGGTCCCTCCTCCTCTCCTTCCTGTGTGTGCTCACCCACTTCTTCCCTGAGCCTTCATGAAGGATTAATCCACATGGCAATTCCTGTCTTGGCCTCAGATCTGAGCTTACAGGCTATTTCTTTAGAGAGACCACTCAGACCTCCATGTTGTATAGAATTCCCACCTTGCTGTCATGCCATCTGACTCCCATGTGACACTGTCACATGACTCCTCTTCTTTGTCACTCTCCCAATGGATAATTTTTGATTGTGAAGTTATAAGGTATTTCGTCCTTCTCTAAATCGTGTGAAATGAGGACTCGCCATCCTGTGTTCTACCACACCTTGGCAAGAGAGGTTGTGCTTAGCAAATTTTGTCAGCATGTGCTTTCAATATAGCACCTGGGAGGTTGAGACAGGAGGATTGCTCTGACAGTGAGACCTTCTGTGACAGTGTTAATTGTCACTTTGACTAGTGCTAGAGTCACCTAGGAGACAAATCTCTGGGTATACTTGTGAGGGACTGTCTAGGTTAAGTTGTGGGAGGTTATCTTTTTTTTTTTTTTTAAAAAAAGTTTTTATTTATTTTTTATTTTATATGTCTAAGTATTTTGCCTGCATGTATGTATGGGCATCATGTGTGTGCAGTACCCACAAAGGCCAGAAGAGGGCATCAGTTATCTGAGACCGCAGTAGTTTACTGATGGTTGGAACTACTATGTTGGTGCTAGGAATCAAATCTGGATCGTCAGCAGGAGCAGCAATTAGCCATCTCTCCAGCCCCTGGTGGGGGAGGGGTGATTATCTTAATTGAATTAACTGAGGTAGGAAGACCAGCTCACTGTGGGTAGCACTAATCCCTGCCTGGGATCCTGGGCTGTGCAAATGGAAGAAGCCAGCTGAGCAGCAGCAGGCACTCACTGTTTTCTGTTTTCTGAGTGTGGGTATCATGTGACCTGATGCTTCAAGCTCCTGCTGACTTTCCCACCACCATGAATGGTGAGCTACAGTAACTTTCTCCCTTAAGTTTCTTAGGTCGGAGTATTTTATCAAAGCAAAGGGAAGAGAAACTAACACACACATACCTGGCTGGAAAAAAATCTGTAGGAGGCCTGAAGAGATGACTCAGCAGTTAGGAGCATTCGCTGCTCTTTTTTTTTTTGTTTGTTTGTTTGTTTTTTTTTGTTTTGTTTTTTGTTTTTTGTTTTTTCGAGACAGGGTTTCTCTGTGTAGCTTTGCACCTTTCCTGGATCTTGCTCTGCAGACCAGGCTGGCCTGGAACTCACAGAGATCCCCCTGCCTCTGCCTCTGAGTGCTGGGATTAAAGGCCTGCATTTGCTGCTCTTGCAGAAGATTCGAGTTCAATTCCCAGCACTGACATCAGATGACTCATAATCGCTTGTAACTCCAGCTCCAGGGAATTCAACACCTCTGGCTTGTGTGGGCACCTACTCTTATGTGCTCATACTACACACACACACACACACACACACACACACACACACACACACACACACACACACTTAAAAATAAATATCTTTAAAATTCTATAGGATGAGTGGATGAATGAATGAATGAATGTTTGCAGGAGGTCGTCAGCATCACCCCTGTGACATCCGCTGCATCTCTTCCTCTATGCTTTCCCTCTGTCTATGTTTTCTGTCTTCTTCCCTGAGCCAGGTTCTCTTTTAGGGGAAAGAGACACAGAGACGACCTTTGGGAAGCTTCTAGTCCAGGGAAGACAGCAATGACAATACAAGGCATGTGACATGCACGGGTGATAACGGTAAGGGAAATCTGAGAACCTACCACAGGGCCTGAGGAGGGCTAAGATGGCTGGGTAGGATTACACTTGGTGAAGAACACCCGAGGTATTTCAGAGGGCTGGAGCAGCTGGTGTCATTGTGTGGAGGGAAGAAATGCATAAGCATGTCACGAGTTTCCCTGAATCTCAGCTTGTGTTGGGGACAGGAGCTTCATATCCAGAGCTGGTTCTTAGAAAATCATGATAGAACTCAATTAAATAACACCTATTTAGTGTGAGAGCTATTGGTCCACACATGTGTGTTGGGGACTGTGGTGAGGTTTGATCACATTGTAACTTAGCTGGTGTCCCTGCATTTCCCATCAGGCAGAAAGGGAATGGGGAACCAGCATGGCTGGTGGCCACTTCTGTTAGATGAACGACAGTCACTCAGAGGCAAGCCCTGGTCCTGAAGATGGAGTCTTTGGCGACCTGAACATCTACCATCATGTGGACAATGCCTGGACTCTTGGCTCAATACTGTATAAGGGTCCAGCTTTAGTAAATATTGCTGAGCTTTAAAGACATGTTTTTTGTTTTTGTTTTTCATGGGTGAAGAGGCCTCTGTGCTGTTTAGCAGAGCTAAACAGAAAGGATGCATCACTCATCTGTTAAGACAGTCTCTCAAAGACATGGCCACAGGCTAATCTGATCTAGCATATTCCTAGTTGAGGTCCCCTCTTCCCAGGTGACTCTAGCTTGTATCTCAAGTGGACAATAAAAACTGATCAGAACACTAAGTAATAGGAACTTGTGTCTCAGTGACACCGATTATCGATATAAGCTAGGTCAAGTCGCCAGCTTCAGTATTTATCTGTGAAGAATGGAAACAATTGGATCCCCGCCCTCCCCCACCAGGCTTTATAGTTTGTAAAATCCACTGTACCGCACAACCCAGGAATACTGGGGTATCTTTGAGAATGGCAGAGCCTTTCTCTGTTCTTGGTGAGCTTGACCTGTGGGGCTAGGATCACAGAAAACGTGATGTCTACCGAAGCCACCTCTAGTTAGCGGCCTTTGAGTTCTTGTTTTGTGAATCCAAAGAACAAAATTCACGGACTCAAGGGGGTACATTTTAGAGAGTAATTTCTTATAGGTTCATAGGAGAGAGAGAGGGAAGAGGGAGAAAGGGAGAGAAGGAGAGAGGAAGAGATGGAGAGAGAGAGGGAAGGAGACAGGAGGAGAAAGGGAGAAAAGGAGAGAGGGTGGACAGAACTGCACAGCAGGAAGAGATCCAGAAACCAGGGTGCCATGGAGCTGCTTGTCTTAGGACTTTAAGAGGACTTATGGCTAACACTGGGGTGGGGTTGGGGGTGGGGTTAAACTGGTCAGTCCAGTTGGCCCAACCGTGAGATGTCCCGGTGCCTCCTGTCACATTCAGGCCTCATCTACAGCTTCTA